AAATACACAATAAAAAAATAATATTTAACACTAAAGTTTATATTTCTGTAACTCAAACATCTCGCGTCTATATATACAATACACTTCAAATTTCATTCCACAAAACAGAAGAAAACTTACAATTGGTATAATTACGTTAACAATCAAAATCTATAAAAAATTCCGTTTATCAAGAACTTTTCTCCTTCCTTCCCACGAATACTGTCTGCCTCCCGTGAAGTTTGTCGGTACATATTGGTTTTTTTTTTGTATTTTTCTTTTTCTCTAATCGATCGGTACGTGAAGACAAACAAACCTTACTTTAATCATACACGAATATCGTAAGGCAATTGAAATGCGTCTACTTGCATCGGTAACCGACATTTAAAAATACGAATAAATCAGGCATTCATGTTTTTACGAAGTTCTACTCAGTACTACCAACGACATAGTGAAGTACCACACGCTTGAGAATGCCCCAACGATTACATACTTCTTTACAGTTTTCTTCGTTACCTTTGTCCACTTTTTTTTTTTTCTTCTTTTTACCACAGATAAGATATACTACTAACGTCTTATTCTTTTTTCTTCTTTCTTTTTTTCTTCTATCACGGATTCATTTACGCAGCATTTTCATGATCTTCGAGTAAAACATAAAAATGTATTCGTGAGCAACTACATTTTCATTTTAATATAATATACTAACACTGAGAGTTACAACGTCCACGAAAGAAACAAAGTTTGTAAAAATTACTGAAGTTGCCAAATTATATATCTATATATATGCTCTCGGGAGTATGGTTCTTTTTTAGAAACAAAAACTAAAGAGCATGCGCGAACCCAAATACAAGGGAGGTTTTTCATTTAGTTTATATCGTTAGGAGATGCTTTATGGAATACTAAAGAAATTATTACGTAGCGCAAAAATTACAAATGGAACTAATGCAAGTACAAAATAAAAAATTCTGGAATAGTTTATTCCCTACATCTCGTTAAACCTATTTAACTGGAAGAGAAATACCATCGATAAAACTTACACAGACATTTAGGCTAAACCCGCATTAACATGCTTTTTAACTATGTGCCAGATGTTGCAATGTTCACCCATGTTTGATTTGTACTCTATGACTAGCCAATGTACTTCTCGATGCTGCAGGTATTATTATAAAAGGAAGAACTGATCATGGGCTCTCGAGGAACTAATTACCAATCTTTGTCAATCAAAGTATGACCGAACTTCGATATTATAAAAAAAAAAAGAAAAAGAAAAAAAGAAAAACAAACAAATGAAATGAATAAAAGATCATTTTTCCTCGTAATTTTTTTTTTGTCTCTTCTTTTTGTTTTCGTTTGCGTTGTCTAAAGTCACGTGCGGTTAAGTATGAAGTGATTTATACAAAATTACGACACAGAGAATTCTTACCCACCGTTTGTTATTTCCTCCATTAGCCATGACATCGTACAAAGCCGTCATCATTACTGCCCAACTGTATTTGGTTTGGTCACAATGTTACATCAAATGCACTATTCCAGGAGTCCACCAAACGCAGACTCAAGCTCAACATACATGCACGCGTCATACACACGGGGCATGCACACTCTTCTGACACTGACACGTACTACGCAAAACACGTGTACACTCCGAAGAACACACGTTTTGCACGCACGCCACATCAGCAACCCAGGCACTTCTTGCTCTTTCTCTCCCTCTCATTCTCTCTCTCTCTCCCTTACTTTCTCTCTTTTTACCTTCCAATCTCGTTCTCGCTCTCACTCTCGCTCACGCTCTCTCGTTCTCTCTCTCTCTCTCTCTCTCTTTCTTCCCGCCTACCCCCCGTTCTCTCATTTCACTCTTTCTCAAGGATGGATTCCCTCGAGTTCCTTCGGAAGCAGCGGACAGATTTTTGGGGCACATCGTGCACGACACACGTTAGTCAATCGGCCATTTGTCGTCGGAGGTCGTGTGTGAATGGCTAAGGGAAATTAGATCGGAGGGTGGTGCTGGAGTGGACGTCGGGGGTTCAAGGTCAACGAGGGCTCGGTGCAGGTGGGCTTGGCCGGGGGTCAGGCTCGCTCACTATGCTGTGTGGTATACCGGTTAATCCAGCAGTAGGAGGAGCTGAAGTAGGGCCTCCAGCCCCACCGCCGCCTACCGTTGGACCCGTAGGGCCTGTAGGACCCCCGGCGCCTGCACCGCCTGCAGAGGAGTTCGGTCCGCCACCACCCCCACCACCACCGCCGCCGACGACGGAATGCCCACCAGGAG